AGGGCAAGTTGGTTATGAAGATTGAGTGCCCACTCTAAGGACACCATAAGAAGTAATAATGGTAAAGTGTTGTGAGCTTCCCTTCACATGAGACATAAAGAGACCCCTAGGTTCAAGATTTGACAATCAATTTCAAGGCTTACTGTATAGCATGGAATTGTGGAAGATAAAAAGCAAGATTTATTATTATTATTATTTCCTATGAATGAGATTTGTATAAATAAGTCAAGTTATGTATTTCAGTTAGATTTTATCCCATGATTACTATTTTTCATTTTATAAAAACTATCATTTTCATATACAGTGGACAGGAAGAGAATCTAAAGTAATCAAAATTGAGTTGAGTTTAAGCATGGGGTTGTTAAGAAGTTTTATTTTTCTTACATTGTTCTGAATTTCCATTAGGGTTTTTATAATGAAACAAACATAAGTTTGTTTGTTTTTTAAGTACATACGTTTAAAAAAATGAGGTTAAAATGAGGCACATGGAGTAGGTCTTTATTAGTGTTTAAAATATTAGTGGATTGGAGTCTCTATAGATGGATAAATTTAGGTATTATTTGTAAATCTTTGTAATATTTTATTTTAGTAGAATTATCATGAGTTTAGAGTCTCTGGGTTGCACAAACGGTTAAGCACTCATCTGCTAACCCAAAGTTTAGTGGTTTGAGTCTGCCCAGAGGAGCCTTGGAAAAAAGGCCTGGTGATCTATTTCTGAAAAATCAGCCATCAAAAACCCTACAGAGCACAGTTCTACTCTGACACATATGAGGCTGGCATGAGTAGAAGTTGATTGGATGGCAACTGGTTTGTTTATTATCATTAATTTAACAGCAATCCAATGCAGGCAGAGTCCAGACTATTGACTATTTCTCAAGACTTTTGTTGAATATTACTTGTAATTATTTAAGTACTTAAAAAGTAACATTTATTTAGGATTATTTTGGAGGCTAATTTTTTCTTCAAAATATGAAACTACCAGTGAGTAATTAAAATCCATCTATAGTATCATTATCCCCAAAGGGTTTTATACTTTCTATCGTTAGAGTACTTATATATGCCCTAGTCTACACCACAGATGATACAAAGTCCTTTCTCTGCAAGCCTTCCAAATGCCCCAGTTGAAGTCAATCTGACTTATCTCTTCACTTCACCACTTTCAATGTGGTACTGAAAAAGATGGGCAGATACTCAGAGGTAAAACCAGTCTTACGTAGAATGAATAAATCTCTTTCATTGTTTTAATTGCGTTTGTTTTCTTTTCAATATACTTCTTAGACATACAATGTGCCATGGCAATCAGTGCTTACACTTTGTCTTTTCGTTCTGTTTGTTCCACATATGTTATCCAGTCCAAACTCATTCATGAAACATTCTTTCACCTGATCTTTATGGCCATTGAATATATAAGATGAATTTCCCTATCTATATAAGCAGAGGAGGGCAGACATTCCTGTCTCACATCCTGATTTTGAATGCACTGAACTGGCTTACATCATCTCTGCTTGCAATGATGGGTTCATTTCTTCTGAATGCCTAATATTCTGCAAAGTAATTAGAATGTGTTCGCATTTGTCCTTTAGAGATGTACACTGTGAAAAGCAGAGATTCTGATAAAAGTCACAATAACACACAGCTTCCAAGCTGTGATTAGAATTAATCCATTCAGTTTTAAAATCTTTTGCTATGGAGTCACTGGGGTGGGGGGTGGGGGTGGGAAACATAAATTTAGTAGAAAGACTAATCAAATCTATTGTTTATCATGATTGTGTAATAAATAATTTGATTACTAAAACACGGGGGAGATTACATTGAAGAAGCACTTTTTCATGAAATTGTTGGAAATTATAAATATTCTTCAAATAAATGTTGTCCAATGCATTCTCTTATAAACATTTTGGGAAGAATGATCTCATCACTGATTTAATGTAATAATCATGAAATTACTGTTAATAAAATCTAGAGAATAGTGAATTTTAAAAGTGCTTCTTGTTGTTAGTTGCTACCAAGTCAATTCCGACTCATGGTGACCCATATGTGCACAGTAGAACAGTTCCATAGAATTCGCAAGGTGGTAGGAAGCAGATTGCCAGACCTGACTTCAGAGATGCTTCTGGGTGGGTTTGAACCTCCATCCTTTTGGCAAGTAGTCAAGCACTTAAGCATTTGTGTCACTCAGGGACTCCTTAAACGTACTTAGTAATATATCATTTAGTTTCAGATAATGCTGAATAAGTTTTACAAATATTATCACTTTTAACTAAGTTAAAAGTTGCAGAATGCTCCTCAAGGGACAATTATTTTTGTAGCTTTTCTTCCTGTCCCAATCCAAAATTTGAAAAAAAAAAGAATAAATAAAGTATCTTTCCTCTGCCTTAAACCCATTGCCATCAAGTCAATTCCAATTCATAGTGACTCTGTAGTTGAGAGTAGAACTGCCCCATAGGGTTTCCAAGGCTGTAAATCTTGACTGAAACAGACTCCACATCTTTATCCTGCAGAGTTTCTGGTGGGTTTGAACTACCCACCTTTTGGCCAGTGGCTGAGAGCTTACTTAATTACTGTGCTACTAGGGCTCCTTACATTTCCTCTGCTTTAGTATTATATAATTAACTGATAATTTATTCATGGAATACAAATATGTAATATATGTTGTTGTTAGGTGCTGTTGATGTGATTCTGACTTGTAGCAATCCCATATACAACAGAACGAAACACTGCCTGGTTCTGTGCCATCCTCACAGTTGTTGCTGTGTTTGAGCCCATTGTTGCAGTCACTGTGTTTATCAATCTCATTGAGGGTCTTCCTCTTTTTCACCGACCCTCTGCTTTACCAAGTATGATGTCCTTCTCCAGGGACTGGTCTCTCCTGATAACATGTCTAAAGTTAGAGAGACAAAAGTTACATGAGACAAAATCTTGCCATTCTCGTTTCTAAGGAGCATCCTGGCTGTACTTCTTCCAAGACAGATTTGTTTGCTCTTCTGGCAGTCCATGGTATATTTCTTCACCAACACCATAATTCAAATGCATCAATTCTTCTTCAGTTTTCCTTACTCATTGTCCAGCTTTCACATGCTTATTAGGTGATTGAAAATACCATGGCGTGGGTCAGGAGCACCCTAGTTCTCAAGGTAACATCTTTGCTTTTTAACACTTTAAAGAGGTTTTTTGCAGCAGATTTGCCCAATGCAATATTATGTTTGATTTTTTGACCAATGCTTCCATGGGTGTTGATTGGTGATCCAAGTAAAATGAAATCCTTGACAACTTTAGTATTTTCTCGGTTTATCATGATGTTGCTTATGTAATATATAGGCAAAGCATTCAAGAGAAGTGCCTTCAGACTTCTGATATGTGCATATAATAAATAAAATAAACACATGCTCAATTTGGAGGAAATGGAAGAAAAGGTTAAACAAGCATAATTTAATTCTATTGGTCCCCCTGTAAGTTCAGACAAGTTTTCAGCAGAGACCTAATTTACAGACAATTTCTCCACTGGTTTTCCTTCTAAATCTAAAGCAATACATTTGGAAAAACATGTAAACAGAGTCAGAAGGGTAATTATTTTAGTTCCTTGTGTTTCCAGTGATTCATATCATTTTTTATTACTACCTGTCTAAGTCATTAGGTTTATGTAATTTAACTTAACTTGGCCCTCAGCTAACAGCAAACTGGGCCAAAGAGTAGTTCCTTATCTTCCCTCTGTTCTCTTTATTCTACCTTATCTTTAAACTCTTTCCCCAGCGTCTCATCTGTGTTACAATCTCTATTTCATCTTAAAATACCCGATGTCATGAAAATAAATATGGAACTCAAGGAACAGGAGAATATGCTAGAAAGGAAAGTAGATATGTTAAAAATTGTTTCAAAACATGTATAAAAAAGATATAAAAACTTTATGAATTTGAGCACATAATCAATAATTATACAATTATTATACAATAATAGTCTGATAATCTTCTATTTTTCTGATATAAACCACATAACATTCCCTTTAAAAAAAAAAGCATTTGCCGAAATGAGTCCTAATATTATATAGGCTGCTTCTAGAACATATAGGCAAGAGTGTTTCTATACATAGAGTGTTTCAAAATAAATGTATGATCGCATCTAATATATTCATTTCAGATGTGAAAGTGTTCAGGTACTTGGAGTGCTAAAAGGAATGATTTTTAAAACATAGGCCTTTTGGGAAATAAGGAATCTGACAGTTGAGAGTTTTATTAGTGATGATTCAGAAACTTTTAACAGCTGAAGAAATAGGCAGCTCTTTAAATATGGGGAAAATAATTCTGAGCTAGTACCATAAAAATAAGGATACTGTCATTTCTATGTATTTATTTTATTTACAAATATGCAATTCCTTATTTTTGAGAGTGATAAGCAGTATTCAGTTAATGAGAATCATGTTATAATTAAAGGCTCTTGAATATATTTTAAAATAATCATAGTTCTATTCCAAATAACTTAAAATAACTGCAAGAGAATCTCATCCTTAGTCTCATTATTTAACAGTAGCTCCAGGGAAAGAAATAACGAAGTATAAAACTTAGGGTCTCTGACACAAGGCTTTTACATTTTTTTAAAAAAAATTTAAAATGGGAATACAAACATACAAATGTTGCAAGAAAGTTGTACATGTTAACGTTGTAAAATTTAATTAATGCATAATTTCAACTATAAATACCAGTAAAAGAACCCCTGAAGCAACTATGCTACATGTGGAATGCTCACAGTTTTTCTCCACACATGTGTGCAAACAGCACTGTGTAAGATGAGATTTTAACATAATGCATTATTTAGCTTGTTATAATAGCAAAATATATTATTAAACATTTAAAACAATGTGTAATTATTTCCATCACAATTCCCTTGCATTATATTTGGTATTAAAAAGGAGAGGAAAGACCATTTTCAGAAAGAGGAGGAGTTGAACAGTCCCAAGGTGGAGCTGTCTCTTGCATTAAATGACACTGGGAGATTAAAGTGCTCTGATGGGGAAGGGCTTAAAGGCTGAGTCAAAAGCCAAGAAGTCTCTTTATTTACGCCTCCCTCCCAGCTCTTGGCAATCTGACTAATAGCAAACTGAGCTAACAAGAAAGACTAGAAAGGGAGTAAAGTGAACATTGCTGCAGCTTGGATCTACAACCTAAGAAAGCAAGAGTGATCAATTGCAACTCTGTTAAAGATCTTGTCTATTTACTGTGTTCAACAGCTTGCAAATGGTTAACTATATGCAGAAAAGTCAGCATAGCTGTGAAGTATGCCGTGAATTTTAATTGGGGGCGAAAAAAAGACCACTGCTTCAGGATGATCTAGTTATGCACTCTGCTTGAAATATTTTTAATGAAATGCAAGCGTTTTGTCTTTGACCGGAGAGTTTAACTTCAGGAAGCTACAGGACTTGCCAAAAAGTGATATTTGAGAAGAAAGTACGTGGTGGGTGGTGTTTTCTTTTTTAATAAAGAAACTGAACTGTTTTGACCAGCTCTTCCAGCTGTGTATTACAGATAACGTCAGGAAGTCTGCTTTACAGGTAAGATGAATGTTTCCAGGCTTTTCTTATCCCTATTTTTGCATTATCCTAAAGTGATGGAATTTATATGTTTGGCTTTTTTTAAAAATAACTTTGCATGAAGGGATATCTGATTTCAATCTTGCTCACTGGCATTGCAATGCTGGAGCAGATGCCTGTTTTCTCTGAGCAGCAGACATTTAGCCCAACAGCTGGCTGTAGAGCAGAACAGACATAAAAATATGCCACTGTATCTTTTACAATAGGCAGTTTGATATTGGAAATTAAATATGTGGGCTTTCTGAAGAAAAGATCACTTAAAAACGCCATTGCTGAATTTCAAACATCAGCTGAATTTCAAGAGTCTTTATAGTTGGTATGCTACTTTTATTATTTTCAGATTTGCAAATATGTATTTTCTGAAAATACATACAGTGACTTTTGTTCTCTTTAAAATTGTCTGAGATATTGCCAATATGATATCGCTCTTCATATTTGCATGTGTTCCTGAGAACATTAGAAAATGTTTTTTACCTGGGCCATTTTCAAGAGCGTAAATGTTTAAGACTTAAATGCATAAGATTAAAGAATAATAATAAAATGAATGAAGGGTAATCATCTGGGAATTATTTATCATTTTCTCAAGATGCTGTGCCTGGTGGAATTAATTATACTCTTTCTTGGTAATTGACGCAGAAGTACTTTTATTGTTTGGGGAAGTCAATCCACAAGTTGAAAACTTCAACTTCAAGATCCTTGATTCTAAGCACAACATTCAGATCTGTTTAAAATCAAACTCTTTCCCTATGGGAACGTTAAGTTGGATAAGTTTTCCTGTACATAAAGAGACACTATCTTGTTCTGTTTCTTTGGTTGCCTTTTGTCTTTAAGAAACTTGTACTATGCATGTTTTCAATAAAACAATGTATTTTCATGGAATGAAAGCTCGTTTTCAGGAATATTGACTGAACTCCGGGATATTTTACGTGATCGTGAATTTTAATTAGATTAAAAGTTACCGGTCACATTTCATCTGGAAAAATGAAAGTAGTTATCATTTCAAAAAGATGAATAGCCATAAGCTATGATGTTTGCTTCTCTTTCAATTTATTTTTTAGGAGGTTAAGGTACAACCTTTAAAGGTAGCCGGGAGAGTTAGGCACTGGTAGAGTTATATATATACAGTTACCTTTTCACTGCGGTAATTTTTAAGTTTTTCTTTTTTTTAAAAAAAACTGCTGTTTCAGGTGTATAATTTTTAAGCAGTTGGAATATGTGGTGGTGTTTTCTTGAGCTGTCATTTTTTTATTTATCACATTAGAGATATTCTTAAATATTCCATTATAATGCAGTTTGTTTTAGAGTTCATTGTTTGCATCTTTAAGCCTTATTATAAAGGAGATCAACCAGTCAATTATAGATGACATTCAGTGCCCTAAAGCCTGCTTTAAGACCACACCAGGAAGTCACTTGCTGGAAGTGTATATGAGACACTGTTTATTCTTTTATAATGGCCCAAGTAAGATGTGTGTTAAAGATCTTTTTTTTTCCTTTAGTTTTTATGATTTTACCTGATTCATAATGGAATTATAAAGCTACAGTAAATATCTTATCCACTTGAAATTCAATATAAAGTATGTCTAGGTGAAATTTGAATGGGTACTCTTAAGCATATACCTCTGATAATATTATGCTTCTATAAACTGGCTTAGACAACAGAATTAAAATGAACTTCTTTTATAGTATTCTTTATTAAATAATCAGAGGTATATTTTAATAAATAGATAAGTTAAAAATCATCTTTATTCAAAATCAAAACAAGTTACAACATAGATACTGTTATTAGATATCATGACACCCAGTTCAAAAATATAAATAAAGGAAATGTATATATACATGCATGCATGCATAGATACTTTGATACATACATACATTTCTAATTATCATTTTTATAGTCCCTACAGTTCTTTTTGTTTCTTACTAAAACCTACACTTCTGTCTCATACTGTATTTCTTAAACCTTAAATTCATTTATTTTAAGTTAAAAAATAATCAAGGTATTCTTAAATATATACTTTGCACCATATTATAGTACCCATGATACATTTAGCCAGCACCTTTCTCATCTATTGAAATGCAGGTTATTTGACACATGTAAACATTCATGATAATATTTTAAATTCTCCTTGACCTTGGTTTTGTATTTTGACTATGATGCAAGTTAAAAGTAGTCCAATTCCTAGCTGTCCTAGTATTAGAAAAAAAGAAAAGAAAATTTGGATGCAGTAAAGTATTCATATTTTCCTAGTATTGAATATTTTATTTTTAGAGGAATACTTATCCTTTTTTAAGTATCAGATTTATGTTCTCCCTGCTCCTGCCCACTAAAGCCCTTTGCTATCATATTTTATTTTACAGAATCGGATTCCATCACATGGCAACATGAAGCTGTGGGTTCATCTCTTATATTCAGCTCTCCTTGCCTGTGTATCTTCACAGTCTCAATCTCCAACGTCCTCAGCCAGAGGTTCTTGTGATTCTTTTTGCAAGTGTGAGGAAAAAGATGGCACAATGCTAATAAATTGTGAAGAAAAAGGTATCAAGAAGTTATCCCAAATTAGAGTGCCACCATCACGACCTTTCCACCTAAGTTTATTAAATAATAGCTTGACAATACTTCACAAAAATGACTTCTCTGGGCTTACCAACGCTATCTCCATCCACCTTGGATTTAACAACATTGCAGATATTGAGACTGGTGCATTTAAAGGCCTTGGCCTTCTTAAGCAACTTCATATCAATCACAATTCTTTAGAAATTCTTAAGGAGGACACCTTCCATGGACTGGAAAACCTGGAATTCCTACAAGCAGATAACAATTTTATCACAGTGATTGAACCAAGTGCCTTTGGCAAACTCAACAGACTTAAAGTGTTAATTTTAAATGACAATGCTATTGAGAGTCTTCCTCCAAACATATTTCGATTTGTTCCTTTAACCCACCTAGATCTTCGTGGAAATCAGTTGCAAACATTGCCTTATGTAGGGTTTTTAGAACACATTGGCCGAATATTGGATCTCCAATTAGAGGACAATAAATGGGCTTGCAACTGTGACTTACTGCAGCTAAAAATTTGGTTGGAAAACATGCCTCCACAGTCTATAATTGGTGATGTTGTATGCAACAGCCCTCCAGTTTTCAAAGGGAGCATACTAAGCCGACTAAAAAAGGAATCTATTTGCTCCACTCCACCGGTGTTCGAAGAACATGAGGATCCTTCAGGATCACTAAACCTGGCAGTAACATCTTCAATGAAAGACAGTCACATATCAACCAAGTCCACATTTCTGTTAAAACCACCCACTAAAGCACCAGGCTTGGTACCTTATATTACAAAGCCATCCACTCAACTTCCAGGATCCTACTGTCCTATTCCTTGTAACTGTAAAGTACTATCCCCATCAGGTCTTCTAATACACTGTCAAGAGCACAATATTGAAAATTTATCAGATCTAAAACCTCCTCCAAAAAATCCTAGAAAGCTTATTCTAGCAGGGAATATTATTCATACGTTAATGAAATCTGATCTAGAGGAATATTTCACTTTGGAGATGCTTCACTTGGGAAACAATCGTATTGAGGTTCTTGAAGAAGGATCATTTATGAATCTAACAAGATTACAAAAGCTGTATCTAAATGGTAATCATCTGACTAAATTAAGTAGAGGCATGTTCCTTGGACTCCACAATCTCGAGTACTTATATCTTGAATACAATGCTATTAAGGAAATACTACCAGGAACCTTTAACCCTATGCTTAAACTTAAAGTCCTCTATTTAAACAACAACCTCCTACAAGTTTTACCACCACATATTTTTTCAGGAATTCCTCTAACTAGGATAAATCTTAAAACAAACCAGTTTTCTCACCTACCTGTAAGTAACATCTTGGATGATCTTGATTTACTAACCCAGATTGAGCTTGAAGACAACCCCTGGGACTGCTCCTGTGACCTGGTTGGATTGCAGCAATGGATACAAAAATTAAGCAAAAACACAGTGACAGATGACATCGTCTGTGCTTCCCCAGGACATCTCGACAAAAAGGAATTAAAAGCTCTAAATAGTGAACTCCTTTGCCCAGGTTTAGTAAATAATCCATCCCTGCCAAGTCAGCCTAGTTACAAAGTGGTCACTACTCCCACAACCACCACCAATACAGGCGACACCATTTTAAGATCTCTTACCGATGCTGTACCACTATCTGTTTTAATATTAGGACTGCTGATTGTGTTCATAACTATAGTGTTCTGTGCTGCAGGAATAGTGGTTCTAGTTCTCCACCGCAGGAGAAGATACAAAAAGAAACACGTAAACGAGCAAATGAGAGACAACAGTCCTGTGCACCTTCAGTATAGCATGTATGGCCATAAAACAACTCACCACATGACTGAAAGACCCAGTGCATCACTCTATGAGCAACATATGGTGAGCCCCATGGTTCACGTCTATAGAAGTCCATCCTTTGGTCCAAAGCATTTGGAAGATGAAGAAGAAAGGAATGAGAAAGACGGAAGTGATGCAAAACATCTCCAAAGAAGTCTTTTGGAACGGGAAAAACATTCACCGCTCACAGGATCAAATATGAAATACAAAACCACAGATCAATCGACTGAATTTTTGTCCTTCCAGGATGCCAGTTCTTTATACAGGAACATTTTAGAGAAAGAAAGAGAACTTCAGCAACTGGGAATCACAGAGTATCTAAGGAAAAACATCACTCAGCTCCAGCCTGATATGGAGGTACATTATCCTGGAGCCCATGAAGAGTTAAAATTAATGGAGACACTAATGTACTCAAGACCAAGGAAAGTATTAGTGGAACAGACTAAAAATGAGTATTTTGAGCTCAAAGCTAACTTACATGCTGAACCTGACTATTTAGAAGTCCTGGAGCAACAAACATAGACGAAGGGTGAGGGCTTTCGCAGAAATGCTGTCATTCTGTCTTAAGTCCAAACCTTGTAAATAAGTGCCTTACATGACTGTGTCATCAATCAGAACTTAAGCACAGCAGTAATCCTATGGGGAAAAAAAGAAGAAAAAGAAACTCAGGGATCACTGGGAGAAGCCATTGCGTTATCTTCAGGCAATTTAGTCTGTCCCCTATAAAAAAAAATCCTTGTAGGTTTATCATCCAAGGATTATAGTAATAGCTCTCCATATATTGAGCGTTTCACAGAAGTCCTCTTGCACATTTAAAAGGGTTGAACAGTTAAACAATTTTTGTTTTCTGGAATTATTTTTACCGGTGGATTAAATAAAATTGGATTTCATTGCTTAAAAATATAACTGTATATGTAGTTATACTATGTAAAGGATATATTGTTTATACAAGAAATATATATGTACTGCAAAAGTGTACATTGTCAATTACACTTAATTTTCAATAAATGCAAAAGGACCTGTAATTTGATAATTACGAATAGTAACTGTAAAGAAGGAAACTATAGTTATTTATGCTCTGAGTGGACTAAAATTTTGAACATTTGAAGATTACACAAATGCCACTGCTATGCTTTCTTAATTTAAAATGAGCAAAACTGATGACTGGTCCAGGTGGAATAAATAAGCAACTGTTTTTATTTTTTCTGCCCGTTTTGTGTAGACAATCCTATTGTCAATGCTGCTGTGAGATAAGGTATATTATCTGTGCTCAAACTTTGTTAATCCTTGGGATATTATAAACATGCTACTGAGATTCAGCTGTAAATATAACTAGTGCACATATTACGTTTGGTTCATTTCATAGCATTAATCCTTTGTAAATCTGAATGACCATGGTAGACATAAGTTTCTTGTGGCAAGTAATTCACAGGTGTTAATCAAATAGGAAAAACTATTACTGTATTTTTATTGATGTATATTGATATTTGCCATAAATTTGTAGCAAAAAGGCACTTCTAGGGTAAGTGATTTAAGTTGCCCCAAGAGTGGACAATGTAGCTTTATTTTACAAGAAAGTATCGCTAGATTTCTATGAACTATTTATTCTGTACAGTTTTGTATATTTTTGGCTCACAAAAGTTATCATTCTTGGGTGCCTTTCAAGAAAATTAAAAATACTGCTCACTACAATAAAACTAAAATGAAAACTCCTTTTTAAATGTTCCTTCTTCAATTAGTCTGACCTGTGATTCTATCAAGTCGAGATTAACACACCCCCACACACCCACACCCACAATAAAACAAAACAAAGCTTCTGTTTGTTGTCATGCACACAGAAGCATCTTGTTCACAGTGTGCAAAAAGGCCATTCAATTTCTGGGTAGGATTGATACAGAGCCAAAGTAAAAGTCCTACTATCAGTTCTTCTATTCAAGGAAATAGGCTGCCCACTCAATACAAATGGAAATGATTTTTTTTTTTTTCTGGTTACAGAATAAACCATACAACAGATTTTCACAAGGCAAAATATAATTGATCAAGGTGATCTATTATTTTTTTTTTCTGAACACCGTGCAGACCTGTGTACAGATTAAGGCAGGAACACATTTCCTGTAAGAAAGCATTTTATTTAATTCACTTCACACATTTTTGTCATTCCTGAATATTCCATCAAATTTTTGGTTCTCAGGACTTAACACTCTGTACTACTTGCAAATCATATATTATTTTTGACCTTGAGTAAAGAACCATCTTTTTGATAAAAAAAAGTAGGTGCCTGAGGTACGTAATATGAATGCTAATTATAAGCCTACTATTAAATCGTATCACCAGGTTTCTCTTTAATTCATTGTATATATTAACAGAAAATAATTGGGAATTATGTATCAAAGGGTTCACTGATAAATTATTCTATAAATTTCCAAAGTTTGGAAGGAAAAGGTGGGGATTCTTTTTAAGTAAAACTTACTAAACGATGATCTGTATACATATGAAATAATCTATATACTTACCCGAAAAAATAATACTCAGCACAGTAGTGAATATTCAACCTTCCACAGCATAAGTTAAAAAATTAAGTTCTAAAGAGAAGAACAAACCAGGAACAGAATTCGTTTTATTCTACTTCTCTTACTTAGTTGAATACCTGCCAACATTTTTGGATTCCAATTTGGTACATAGAAGTATTAGGAAGATTTAAGAAATTCCCATGCCTGGAGAACACTTGAAATGAATCCATGGTGGCGAACAGCAACATGTCCTCAAGGACATTCATCTGCTTTTCAGTGGGGAAAGATTTTTTGAATCTTTATTCATTGTTAATTGCCTAAAGTAATAATGTTGATTCTTTAACTTATAATCAAGAAGGAGTGGAGTTGTTCATGGAGACATGTAAGTATATCCAAAATTTAAAGTTCAACCCCAAGACTGAAAGCCTACAGGAGTCTGGGTATAATTTATAATGACATAGAAATCATATCGTTTCCAGGAAGCAAGGGGTTTTTAAGGCTTAAACGTTACATTCCTGATGCACTCTTTCTTATATGACTTATTTCTCTAATAGAAGTATTTGAGAGTTTAGAAGGCTAGTGATGTTGTTAACTTCTCTCTCTCTTTTTTTTTTGGTGGTAAAATATACTAGCAAAACATATGCCGTCTCAACATTTTCTCATGTACTGTTCTGTGACATTGATTACATTCTCACAATTTTTTTCCAAATCATTTCATGACCATTGACATAACCTCAGTGCCCCCCAAGGGAAAACTCCCCCCTTTCCCATCCCTCTCACCCTGGTAACCACTACTGATCTTTGGTTTAAATATATTTGCTTATTTCATATAAGTCAGATCATACAGTATTGGTCCTTCTGTGACTGAATTATTTCAGTTAGCATGATGTTTTCAAGGTCCATTTAGGTAGGGTTATTAACTATTAACATGTCTTTTGCCCTGTGAGAATCTCTCAGGATTTTGGTGATTTTACCTGCATTTCCTATTCTCCCTCCCACTAAAGAAGAAATTTCCATACATTTTCCCTATTTAATTATTTACTTACACAGCGAATTTAAACAGTTTCTGCAACTAATCGATTAATTCAGAGTTCCAAGTCGTAATCCAATATCCTTAGGCTTATTCACATGTACCTTATTAAAATAGGCCATTCTCAAACAAATTAGACATTAAATTATACTAGTGTATTTATTGATATGAATGCAATTTACACTTTACTCATTACACATCAGTGTAAGTTCTAATTCATGTCTGAATCTTGAATTTTTATAATGCAGTCATACTAGTTTATAATCACACTAGGTCAAACTTTTCAAACTCTAAATCAGTCTGTTAGACACGTGCTGTACTAATCCTCGTTTAAAATCATTTTCACTAAATTACAATAAAATACTTACTGTAGATTTATGAAAGTGTTTATTCAGATATTTTCGATTGATCCTCATACAAAGGTGGAAATTTTACTGCTTAAATAAGAAAGGTTTATATCAATCATGTTAACTCTCCCTCTTGAATTAACCTCTTATATCATGGAGAAAAGAGCTTTTTCTTGTTGCTCTAGTATTGTGTAAACTGAAGTACCATCTAAGTTGCCCTTAAGCTGCCTTCATCCTTTGGCCAAATTAATTTAAAAGGCTTAGGCTTTGATCTAGGATTGAAGAAGCAGATATGAATTTCTCTTTGTCATTAAAATATGACTTTTTAAAATAATGGGTTATACTTTTCCTTATATCCTACATACTTTTGGAACTAACTAGGCTAAAATGATAGATAGATGGAGCCTCAATATACATGTAAATTATTTTGTTATTTATTTTTCTGTGTTAAATAATAGGTACATAATCAAACATGCTTTTAAAACAGGAGTACTACTAACTTGCAGAGTTGTTTCAAAATAAACTGGTGTTTTGAATATAAACTAACACACACAAATACCCAATAAGAACTCAGAAACTTTTCCCATATATAAGACTCCCTATAGTGATTAAGAGCTCAGACTGCTAACCAAAAGTTCAGCACTTCAAATCCCCCAGCCTCTTCTCAGAAACCCTATGGGGTAGTTTTACTCTGTCATATAGGGTTGCTATGGGTCAGAATTGACTCGATGGCACACAACGATAACAACAACATGAAATTATCGTAGGAAACTGTTCTACGTATGAAAAGAAAGTTATTTCTGTGTATAAAAAACGCTTGGAAAAGGAAGTTTGGATTTCATGGTAATCGGAAAATGGTTTTATAGTGAATTTGAGAATTCCTCTCTACTTGTTTTTCCTGCAGACACTTGTGTGATACAGACATGAACGGCAACGGTTTTCTTCCTGAGGAGATGGAGTATCATAAAAGGATAAGCTTGCATTACAGGAAAGGAGACAATTACAAGTCTTTCTCAGGAGAAGTGGTCCTGCATCTGGGTAGTTACATCAAGAATGACCTCATCCATGAAGAATGGACAAGTGATTAAAAATATGGCATTCTTTTTTACCTTTTCTATTCTGCACATCTTGAACCATAATCATTTCCCCAAATATTGTCTGAGGTTTATAACTATAGTCATGTGTCAAATTAAAAAAAAATAGAATATGATAGTTCTTTATCAGTGAATTATAAGTCAATTAATCGGTATAGTAAAATTACATTGTTTAATATCTTTCTTTTTTTCAAAGTAATATTTTATTTTTTGGTGAAAGTTTACACAGTAAGTTAGGTTCCCATTTGACAATTTCCACGTACATTGTTCAGGGACATTAGACACATTTTTCACCTTGTGTCAGCATTCTCTTCAGTTGTGTTCTGTTTGTTCCATTTCCAGTACTCTAGTTTCCCTGCCTCCGTATCTCATCATCTTTGCTTTTGAGTAATTGTTGATGTTTTGCTTAACATGTTTCTTATATAAAAATAATCACCCCTATCTGTTTTACAGAACACAAATAGTTTTTTTGAAGATCATTTATAAGATTGATAGATTAATATTTATTAGATATAAACATCAATTTATGTTTATTAAGTATCCAAATGCATATACGTCACCAGATATACCATCCTCTTCTAGTTGCTTTGACAGCATAATCAAATAGACAAATTCCCTTCTGTTAGTAGAAGTCTTTCAACAGATTAGTGAATGAAGAATGGAAACAAATCAAAATCCAAACTACTAATTTCACATGAACATGCACACTAACGCACAAGCACACATGCACACCCCTTGCATTTGTAATTCAAACGATTACAATGTACCCTTTTTAAATACAGTATTCTTGTTTTAGAATTCTAAAACTTGGAAAGGAGGAAGATCTGACCTTGCACAAATAGTTATTTGGGTCTTTGCATCACCTAGATTCCACCAGTGGGGAAAAAAAAAATTGTTTCTCTGGGGTTGAGTAAGATATTTTGAATTGCTTGCTTTGCGTAAAATCTCTGGGCATTTATAATTGTCATTTCATTATATTTTGTCACATCATTTTGCTTCTGAAATAAACTCACTCAATATAAACTCTATAATGTTATCACTGGTGTAGACATCATTAGTGACTCGATGTGAAGTGTATTCCCACCCCATTCCTCGGTATTGTCAGAAAATCAAGGACATATAAACCCCAGTTCCTACCTTCATATGATTCATAATGTTGTAGGTAATAGAGAAATACATGGTAGAATAAGGTGCTTATCACTAGAGGAGCCCAGAGGAGTTCTGGTTCTAGAATAAATGCAACCTGTGGTGTTAGCCATTAATTTTTTTTTAAATTTTTTTTATTGTAGTTTAGATGAAGGTTTACAGAACAAATAGTTTCTCATTAAACAGTCAATACACATATTGTTTTATGACATTGGTTAACAACCCTACGACATGTCAACACTTTCCCTTCTCGAACTTGGAGCACTTTTTTTTTTTGGTGAAAATATACATAGCCAAAGATACACTTTTTCAAAACTTTCTACATGTACAATTCAGTGGCATCAATTACACTCTTCCAGTTGTGCTGCTATTCTCACTATCCTTTTCCAAATTATTCCATCACCATTATCTTCAATTCACTGCCCCCAGGCTTCCCATCAAAACTTTTGAGTTGCTGTTGTCAATTTTATCTCACATAGATAAATCCTTTTTTTTTTTTTTTTGTACTTTAGATGAAGGTTTACAGAACAAATAGTTTCTCATTAAACAGTTAGTGCACATATTGCCCTATGACAGTGGTTAACA